TTTTTTTAACAAAAGAAACCCTAATTTAAAAAGAAACATCGCTTACAAAATTGGGCCCAGTTTATTTATTTATTTATTTTTTTTGGAAAAAAAACAAGGTCCATTTCCTTAAATCACAAAACCTAATTTGCTTTTATTTTCAAAAACTGGTTTATTTTTTTACCTTGTTTTTTTTTAACAAAAGAATGTAATTAAGAAAGTCATATTTTCCTTTAACAAATCTTTAGAAATTACAACCTCAATTAATTCTTGAAAATAAAATCCAAATTTGTCATTTTTTTAACAAACTCTAAACTAAAAAATAATAAATAAAATAAAATAATGTACATCAAATGCCCCTCCAATTAAGCTGGAAAAACCAAATGAGGAGCCAATTAATTCATTTATGTCTTTAAAAAGAAAATAGAGGTTTTACCTCTATCAAATTGATTTCCAAAATACGGATTAACTCTTTGATTGTTAGCTTTTAAAAAGATTAGTCGTATTGTCTTCTAAGTCGACGGCCCCATGAGGATACATCTTGGTAATTTTAAATGGGCTGGACCATCGGGATTTTAACTTAGTGGGAAACAGTCGAGTCTAAAGTTGAATAACAAAACTTTCTCACCTACTTGAAAATGTTTGGGGCTTATTCACTAATCATGCCACTCTTTTGTTTTTTCCTTGTACATTTTGGCATTTTCGTACGAAAATTTCCTGCATTCTTCTAACTCGTTCAATTGGAGCTTCCGTTCTTCACCTGCAGCATTAAAATTAAAATTTAGTTTTTTAGTGGCCCAATATGCTTTATATTCTAATTCAACAGGAAGATGACAAGCCTTACCAAATACTAGACGAAAATGAGACATACCAAGAGGGGTCTTGAAAGCAGTCTGATATGCCCATAAGGAATCATCTAATTTAATCGCCCAATCTTTCCTATTTGTATTGACCGTTTTTTCTAGGATAAATTTAATTTCCCTATTAGAAACCTCAACCATGCCATTTGTTTGTGGGTGGTACGCAGTAGCAATCTTATGTTGGACATTATATTTTGCTCTTATGTTCGACATTATATTTTGCTAACACTTTAGCTACTGCCCTGTTTACAAAATGTGTTCCCTCGAACCAATTAGACATCTTAGAGTACCATAGCGAGTAAAAATATTTTTTTGCAAAAATTGAATAAAAATTCTAGCATCATTTACTGAAGTTGCTATGACTTCCATCCATTTAGACACATAGTCGACGACTAACAAAATATAAATTTTACCAAACGACGGTGAGAACAGTCCCATAAAGTCAATGCCCCATACGTCGAAAATTTCTACTTCTAAAATGGTGTTTAGAGGCATTTCATTTTTCTGGGAAATATTACCTACCTGTTGACACTTGTCACATACTTGGGCAAACTGGTAGGCATCTCGAAATAAGGTGGGCCAAAAGAACCCACTCTATAATACCTTAGTTGCGGTTTTTTGACCAGCAAAGTGCCCACCATTCGGTGATGTATGGCATGCTTCCAGGATTTTTGCTTGTTCCTCTTCAGCTACACACCTGCATAAGATATTATCAGGGCCTAACTTATAAAGATATGACTCATCCCACCTATAGTGCTTAGCATCATGTAAAAATTTCTTGACCTGTTGTGAGTTAAACTCATAAGGAAAGATGCCGCTTACCAAAAAGTTGGCAATATCCGCATACCATAGGATGTTATCAATACGAAGGACTTACTCATCAATAAAGTGTTCCCTGACTGCTGATGGGTCTTCTGGATTAGTGGACTCTGATCGAGACAAATGGTCTGCCACCTGGTTTTCTATACCTTTCCGATCTCGAATCTCTAAGTCGAATTCTTGAAGAAGTAAAATCCACCGAATCAACCTTGGCTTCGTGTCTTTCTTAGCAAACAAATACTTCAAGGCAGAGTGGTCAGTAAAAATAATAACTTTAGAACCTATTAGATATGCTCTAAATTTGTCAAAGGCAAAACCAACAGCTAATAGTTCTTTTTCTGTGGTAGTATAGTTAAGTTGTGTTGCAGTTAAAGTCTTATTGGCATAGTAAACTGGATGCAAAATTTTATTTTTTCTCTGCCCTAACATGGCTCCTAACGCAAAGTCACTCACGTCACACATTATCTCAAAGGGTAGATTCCAATCAGGTTCTACTATGATAGGTGCTGAACTCAATGCCTTCCTGAGAGTCTCAAATGAATTCATGCATTCTTCACAAATTCAAATGGCCTATCAATTTCCAACAAATGACATAAAGGTTTTGATATTTTAGCAAAGTCTTTGATAAAACGACGATAAAATCTAGCATGACCCAAAAAACTTCGAATAGCTTCAATTGACGAGGGTGGTGGAAGTTTTGAAATTAACTCAATTTTAGTTCGATCTACTTCCATTCTTTTATTTGAAATTTTGTGACCCAAAACAATACCTTGTTTTACCATTAATTAACATTTTTCCCAATTTAAAACAAGGTTTGTTTTTTCACATCTCTCCAAAAGTTTTTCAAGATTTTTAAGACAATTCTAAAAAGACTCCCCAAATACCGAAAAATCATCCATAAAAATTTCAATTACATTTTTAATCATGTCAGAAAAAATTGCCATCATACACCGCTGGAACGTAGCGGTGCGTTACACAAACCGAAGGGCATTCGTCAGAATGCGAATGTTCCATAAGGACACGTGAAAGTTGTTTTTCTCCTGGTCCTCTGAGTCAATTGTGATCTGGTTATACCCTGAGTATCCGTCGAGAAAACAGTAAAACTTCTTACCTGCGAGACGATCAAGCATTTGATCAATAAATGGAAGAGGAAAGTGATCCTATTTGTTACCTTATTGAGTTTGCGATAATCCATGCAAAATCTCTAGCCGGTTACGGTTCGGGATGAGATCAATTCGTTCTTTTCATTTGTGATGACCGTCATGCCACCATTTTTTGGCACGCATTGAACTGGGCTCACCCAGGTATTGCTCGCTATTGGGGTATATCACTCCCGCGTCTAGCCACTTTAAAATTTCTTTCTTCACGACTTCTTGCATTTTAGGATTCAATCTTCTTTGATGCTCAATAGAGTTGTTGGCACCTTCTTCCAAATTTATCTTATGATGCAAAATGATGAACTAATTCCCTTTATATCTACTATCGTCCATCCAATGGCTTTCTTGTAGTTTGACAATACCTGCAATAACAAGATTTCATGTTCATTAGTTAACGTTGCAGAGATGATTACAGGTAAAGTTTCACTTTCTCTTAAGTATGCATATTTTCATGTTCAATGATTGATGGTTGCATCGCCTAAAATTCATCATTGCTCAAATCTCCAAACTCGAACTTCTCCATTGGTGATAAGAAAGTGTCTGCCTCTCTTTCCTTTTGCGCTACTTCTAGTTCTTGCTCTAAACCTACAATTACCAAATCACAAAATTCTTCCATAGACACAGAGTTAGTTATCTGAATAGTCGAGCACTCTTCTATTTCATCTGGAAGCCGCATAGCATCCAGTACGTTGAATGTCACTTGCTCATCGTTCACCTTCATTGTGATCTCTCCCTTCCTTACGTTGAAAATTGTATCTCCTGTTGCGAGAAATGGCCATCCAAGTATGATAGGGATGTCCAAGTCTACTTCACAATCTAAAATAATGAAATCTGCAGGGAAGGTTAACTTATCAACCTTGATTAGCACATCCTCTATTTTTCCCTCGAGTTTTCTAATAGATCTATCTGCAAATTGGAGGGTTACAGTCGTGGGGCGAGCTTTTCCTATATTAAGTTCTTTAAAAACTGACAAAGGCATTAAATTTATACTCGCGTCAAGATCACACAATGCTCTACCTAGATTTTTGCCTCATATTGAGCATATGATAGTAAAACTTCCAGGATCTTTACACTTAATAGGTAGGGGATTCCCTAAGGCATCGCTACTACACTTAGTTAATGCAACTGTTTCATGTTCCCCTAACTTTTTTCTCCTTGAAATAATATCCTTTAAAAATTTGGCGTAATTAGGCATTTGCTCAAGGATATCAACTAGAGGGAATTTTATATGAAGTTATTTCAAGATATCAAAAAATTTACGGAAATGAGTGTCCTGATTTTTCTTTACCAAACGTTGGGGAAACGGAGGAGGAGGTCTAGAGTTACTTACCTGCTGAGCCATTGGCCTACTAACCTCAATTTCTACTGGTTGGTCAGGTTCTGTTGCAGTCTCTTTTTCCTTTGAAGGACTCGATGCTTGTTCACCTGGCATTTTTGGTTCTTCATAAGCTAACCTGCTCTGGGTTGTAATGGCTTTGCAATGCTCCTTACCTTCTCTTTTGGGCTCCTCTGTAATACTTGGTAATGTATCTGAAGATCGACTCTTGAGTTCATTGGTGAGCTGCCCCATCTGAGCTTCCAAATTTTACATAGCTGCGTGATTTTTAGATGTGTATTCTCGCATAGATGTGTCATTCCTAGTCGTGAATTCTCGCATAGCTGTGTCATTACTAGTCGTGAATTCTTTCATCATACTGGTCATACATTCCTTCATCATACTTTCCATATTACTCAAACTAAACTGCGCTGGCTGTGGTGCACTTTTCTGTTGATTGTATTGCTGTGGAGGTGGAGGTAAAACAAGGAGTCCCGGAGGGTTATAGGTCTTATATTGTTGCTTTTGAACTTGACCTGCATTGTTGGAACTCCCCTGCCCACTCCATAAAAAATTAGGATAGTGCCTCCATCTTGTGTTGTAGGTGTTCGAGTAAGGATTAAAGTTCCTTTGATTCTCTTGCCCTACATAACATAAAGAAGCTTGATTAGATGGACAATTTTCAAATTTATGAGAATCTCCACAATAATAACAAATAGACTTAGTCATATGATAAATAGGAGCAATATTGGTATTTGTTGTTGATGCTAGTGTAGGTGCAACATTGTTCCCTTGCATATTATTCATCATTTTCGTTAAGGGAATCTAATTGACTCTGCATTGATGACATCGCGTCAAGATTAAACACTATTGCTTGATCTATGGTCTTTGGTTCAGTCTTCAATCTCTCTAAGCACCATAGATCGTTATGTTCAATTAACTGATAAAAAATGGTGACGATCTCGTTGTATGTCTTAGAAGTGAACTTTCCATTCGCAGCTGTGTTTAACATCATTTTTGTTGGTATATCGCAACCTCGATAAAAATGTTCAATTTGTACATAGGTCGGGATTCCTAAGTTTGGGCAACTTTTCATTAGCTCCTTGAAACGTTTCCATGCTTCGTTGACCGTTTCATTCTCTTTTTACCTAAAGGAAATGATTTCCTCCCTCACGTCTGTATTTTTTGTGGGTGGGAAATACTTTGCAAGGAACTTGTCCACCATGGTTCCCCATGAATTAATGGAGTCTGGAGGAAAAGCATTCAACCATGCAGTTGCTTGACCTGAAAAGGAAAAGGGAAATAATTTTAGTCTTAAAGCATCGTCAGATATTCCTGGTAATCTAAAAGCATTTGCCACTTGGATAAAAGATTTAAGGTGGGAATTTGGATCCTCGTGTTTGAGTCCTGCAAATTGGCCAATAGTGTTAAGCATTTGGAGCATCATCGACTTGAGTTAAAATCTAGAATTGGATTTGTAATGTCCACGTTTAAGTTATGTAAGGTAGTGGTTGCATAGTCGCGCATTCCAATGTCTCTTCGATCGCCAATAAGATTGGATTTGGTACTTCTTCTGCTATCTTGGTGCTTACTTCGTCAAATTCTCTCTCTTCCTCTTTTTCTTTCTCTTTTTGGATTTTCTCCTATTGTTTTCTAAGTCTCTGCTCACGCCTTAACCTCTTGCAAGTTTTCTCGATCTCAGGATCGTACGGAAGTAAGTGTAGATTTGTGCTCATGTACTAATGCTCACTTTTGAGGTTCGATAGAGGGATTTTTTTTAAAAGAAACGGTGAAGTGATCGCACAAAAAAAAACAATTAACAAAGAATTAAATTAAAACAAAAACAAAGTCCCCGACAACGACGCCAAAAACTTTTTGCGCCTCAGCTTAATAGCTAGAGGGTAAGTGCAAGTGTGTACACTGTCACAAGTAATAATCTGGAAATATTACAAGTTCGTGTCCACAGGGACTAGTTTTCTTTTAAAATTGATTTGTAAATTTCTTAAGTGAACAATCGGGTTTGGGATAAAAATTGGTGAAATTTTTGGGATTACGAATTAAAAACACAAAGATTAAAAAAAAGTCAATCCCCCTACTAAGATTTAGTTCTAAAAGATGAATTACACCTATCAAATGTTCCCGTAATTAAACTCAACTAATGCAAACTGGTTCAACTCTTATTCCATACCACTTTTGGTTTGTTTAGAAGCTTAGGCTAGTGTTTACATATGTCTATGCAACACTAGAAACCTAAATAAATCAAGTTCCAACTTACGATTAATGTGTAAGAGAGCCTATGTCCTTATTTCTAAGTAACTTCTTGTTTTACCTTGATGAGATCCGCTTAACTCTAACCTTTTCAGAATTAAATTCAAACTAATGAGATTTAAACAAGTGGCCAACAAGAAATCAACTGGATGAATTAGATCAATCAAGATAAGCAAAAGAGAGCGTAATACGTCGTGTGTCACAACCATACTAGTAGAGAGTAGTTTATGACACCCACATAGTGTACAAGTGGTGGCGACATGCATATGTCGCCCGTTGGGCAATGTTGAGGGCCGAGAGAGAAGTGTCGTGATGCGACCAAGGAGGATAGTGCATCACCTATCACACCCCATGGATGTACTCAAGAATGGCTAGAGAATGCATATGCAGAATGCAAGGCGAAGGCGATGTCAGTGGTGTCAGTGACAAGCTCAACGGGTGCCAGTTGGGGCCCGGGCCATGACCTTAGAAGTCGGGGTTCCGTCGAGAGTTTGGACGAGCAGCTTTAGAGTTAGATGCATATAAGTGAGATATGCAAGCACGCTAAGTTTCGTGTCAATCGAACTTCAGACGTGCGCTCTACGTTGGCGAGTGACTTCTCGCCACTTTGCACGTACACGTCTGCTAGACCAAGAATGCCTTAGAATGTACCTTAGGGGGAGGCATGGTGTCAGCTCTCCACCACCCCTGGGCCTTGTGGCCTAAGTGAGCTACCCCATGGCACATGCGTGTGTCATGGCATGGGCGAGCGTTG